AATATATATATGTGATAGGTTTCCCAGATTGTATTAAAACTTAAAACGTGACATGTAACATCTCTTCACCATCAGTCTCTGAATATAACAAAAAGAGCAAATCATTACTATACTTTCCTGTAGGTTAAGCGAGGCATGCTACAGTTCACCCAATCCGGAATGAAATGTCTGAGTGCATCAGACATTCTTAGTCCCTCATCGTTAAATATATTCGGCAACTGGGTACTATATGAGTATGTCTAATTGCAAGATGCATACCGTCTACGTGTAATTTATACTTCAAAAATTGGTAGACGTTATTGGAGTGAAAACGTTTTATGTAATTAAAGGATAATTAGAAGAAGATAAAAATACATCAGGATGCATTATTTTAGACAATATTTATTGCAAATATATGATATCTGTACGGTTAAGCTGTCTGTTTATATAGAGAGAAAAAAAATTGATTTAATGAATAATATTTTATGATTAAATACGTACGATTAAAACATAAAGTTCTGAATACACTGCGTATTTCTAAAGTCATATTATTTTGCGACCCTCATTTGGTCACAAGTTGATTTTGGACAGGTTTTGAGTTTTACATTTTATATAAATTTTGTGATATTTTTTTTACTCTTTATTAAGAATGCAAAGAAGGGGTGTTATTGAAAATACACGGGTTTATGCCCTTACATATCAAAGTTGCTTATGTAATGCTCTTACATAAGCAACTTCAATATAACAATTATAAATGCTGATTTAAAAGTACCTACTTCAAAAATGTGCATTTCCATTATCATTGGTCCGAATGATTTGTCAATAAAAAAAATAAAAAAAACTAAGTAAACTAAGGTAGTTACATGAAACAAACTTGAGAATGTGTTCATTATTGTCACAGTTATTGTTACATTAGTTCACAACGAATGTCATGCCAAGGGCTAGCTAAATGTAATAGAACATTTGTCAGATGAAATTCGCAAACGCATCTGCCAGCCAAATGGTTTAATTAATCGGGCTGAGGGCGAACGATGCAAAGAGCAAAGTAAACTAAGCTAAACACGTATTGTTGCAGTGCTGGGTGGCTGAAATATTTGCAGTGACAGTTGCGCGGTATACATTGCGTTACTCGTATCTACTAAACATTGCAGATGTTCACAGCTTGATGGATGAAATCATAATGCGCTCGCCTTACAACGAATTCATATCGATAACGTTGGTCAATAAACAAACACATTTAAGCAATAAAATTCATCTACTGTGGTCGGGCCACGCAACAGTGGTTGCTGTTGCACGAATGTGCAATTCCACCCGGGTTAGAACCACGACCTCACAGAAGACCGGCGTGAAGTAGAAGTGTTACACTTCGTCTGGTGAGTGAGGTAGCCGGGGCCCACTTTAGTAAAAGGTGACAACGCATCTGCAACCCTACGAGTATTGCAAATGTCCATGGGTGGCAGTTAACACTTAACATCTGGTGAATCACCAGCGTTTTCCAATTTGTCTCATAAAAAATATGTAATGATATCGTTGACATGGCGGCTGAGTCATCCTCCCCTCCGATTGGGTTCCGTCCGTGTTGTGAGGGGCTTAGTAGCTCTGGCATGGTCTTCCTAGGTGAAGCCAAGAGGAAGCCACTCTGGGCCGGCCTGCGGTGTAAGACAGCCCGAGAGGACCGCATCGATTGGACTCATTGAGCCCACTCTGAATGCGTGCGGGGGTGTGGGCACAAGTTGAGGCTGGTAGAGGAGCCACTGTCTCATTCTTCTGCAACCCGGGTGGAGTTGCGGAGGATGAGAAGGCGATGGTTCATCTGATGTTAAGTGGGACATTGCTACACCCTTATGTGTAGTGGAATGGACAACGGAACATATTGATGATGACGTCTATATACACCAAAGAACCCACATGTAATAATAATTCACGGTTAGCTGGATGCTTGAATGCACACCACGCTCCAACCAAGTATTACGTTCAGTTTCGATCAGTAATGAGCTCCCATAATGAAGCGATTGGAGGTAAACGCATCTCAAAATTAGCGCGGTTTGCAAAAACAACCGTCTTGAACTATGTCAAGAATTACTTGGACTATGACAATTAAGTAATTGAAATAATTGTTCGGTCAAGTTGGATAAGGTAGTATTCAATATTATTCAGTCACTTTATTTCAAACTAACCGCATCGCTTTAAGAACTGTGCCAACTTAGGGATCGAGTAGTGAGCGAGTTTCTGTTTAAAGAGATTTATTTATCACAAAAGAACAAAGTTCACTTAAAACGTGATAAACATATGGAAGACTAGCTGCTGCCCGCGATTACGTCTGCGTAGAATAGACTGAAGCCGTTATTACATTCAGACAGAAAGATAGATATACATGAAATATGTATATAAATTATAGCCTATGTCTTATTCTGATGTATAAGCTATATTATTGTAAAGTTTCATTAAAATCTATTCTATAGTTTTTGCGTGAAAGAGTAACAAACATCCATCCATACATACAAACTTTCGCCTTCATAATATTAGTAAGGATGTCTTAAATGTATGTATTTAATGTATAACTCAAACAGCAATTACAAACCGGTTCCAGAGTTTATAAATCTAAGCAGTTGTAATTTAATATTTTTTAGAATGCAATGGGTATAGGTAGTTTCATGCAAATCATTGCGACATCAAATGTACTTACTCTACTTGTTAGTATAAATGAAAATGTAGAAAACACCTTTCCGAAGTAGCTGGGATGATCGTCACTGCGACGTATAAAATCCTACATAATATTCCAATATCCGACCAAATATCACAGGAAAAGATACGCGTCGTGTGCTGAAATGGAAATAAGCCCGTATTTGTGTTGCGTGACATCACCGTATTTCAGTCATATCGAATTATTCGCGAAACTTCGCACTCTCATTTTCCCCGCTGATTTATTTCGACTGGCGCGTGTCTAAGCAAGTAGCGTGCCGTGTTTTTTAAAACTCGAAAACAGGTGTAAATATTAATGATTCCATGGCCTTGCTAAGCTATTAGACTACGCTTCGGCGTCGGGGGTCGTGGGTTCGATTACCATATGGGGCAAGTATTTGTATGACGTCACGGACGGAGGGTTGACGTCAGACAAGCGGGTGGTTGTAAAATATATATCCAAAACCGCTTACAGCGTGTTTTGCGACCCCGCCTAAATTTAAATCTCTTTTCTGAGGATTCGAGTTTCATTTAGCCCGGAAAACGTTGCAAATTGTTTCCAGTTAACTTTGCCTTAAGCGTGGCATATTTTATAGCTTCAACATACGAGTTTATTGATCTACTCAACGGATGGAAATTCCGATATACAACTCCAATACCGGTCCAAGAGACTTCGTTGGAGCAAAGCGTGTACATGTGGTCAGCTAGTCAACTGTGAATATTACATGTGGGTAGGTATTTGATGTAAAGACGTCCGACATTATGAACATATCTCGTCGATTTTCCTACAAAGTAACTACTCCAGCTCAACTTTGTATAGTAAAACACAACGGACAATTCCCATAACACAAACTATTAAATGGTAATTTTATATATTGGAGTTGTGGTGACTTGCCTCGAACCAACGCGCAAGGTGTTTAAGGCGCTGTGTGCAGTCGAAATAGGCCGTTCAAAGATCTTTTTTTACTATATTTATTTATTGAAAACATATCTAATAATGTTTTTTTATTTCAATTAAATAAAATTTTTTCTACCCATAAATAAATATATAATCGTTATATAATTTTTTCATTAATTTATTTATTTGCCACCTGCCATACATTACATAATTTCTCGCTTTCTTTTTTAGTTAAAAATATATAAGTTGATGAAAATATAAAAAGACCTCAAAGGATTTACGAACTCGGTGGCTGCTGCACTGCATTTGCTGTACTCAGACATTAATGAATTCAGAACCGAGTGAGCTTTAACGCGTCCTGCTTAAGATTTGAGCAATTGTGCATTTAAGTCCGAATTATTGTAACGAAGCCTTTTGTTGACAGAGAAATGTTTGGCCTTACCAAGCGAGGTAAAGCTCTTATCTTATTTGTTATAAGTTACCAACCTACGATAGTAGGTAGTTATGTTAGATATTACAACCTACCTAAATTACCTGTAGTATATAATTATTTATACTATCGTTAGAAATAGAAACAATTACTCAGTGTTTCAGTGTTGCTATTCGATGTTTCGATTTATTTCCTACAATATCTAATGTATAAAAGTCTCGTGTCACGGTGTTTGTAATTGAACTCCTCCGAAACAGCTCGACCGATTTTCGTGAAATTTTGTGTGCATGTCGGCCAGGGTGGAGAATCGGCAAACATATAATTTTCATCTTAAATGTTAAGGGTGGTCCACCCTAAAAATGTTTTTCTACCCTACAAATTCCTAACTTATATGGCAGAACAACGTTTGCCGGCACAGCTAGTTATATATAATTTTGTAAAACATTGCAAAGCTACCGTTATCCAGCACTGTACATAAATTATTACGCGCAAGTACGTGCATAGAACGCGCAAGTAAACAGAGAAGGCATAAGCAGCATAACCTTCAATAATGTAACGCCAGCTGAATGAATTTCTCCTATTGCTAACTAAAGTAAGTTAGTTTAACTTTGTAGGGTCACTACAGTCTTCGCAGTTGCACGTGGGGTTGCACGAATGGGCAGGTCTGACCGGAGAAGTACCACGACCACATCTGTGTAGAAGTGGAAAATTTATACTCGCCTTACGTCTGGTGACTGTGGTAGCTGGGCACACTTCATTAAAAGGTGGCAACGCATCTGCGACCCTATATTTGCAATGTTGCAAATGTCCAAGGGCAGTGGTTGTCGCTTAACTGCCATCTTCTTAAATAAAGTGAAAAAGAAGTTAAAACATGACAGGTGTTTTTAATTGTTCTTCACCAAGTAGACTTTTCAACTGTTCCAAAGTTAATATTTAAAACTTTATGACTTATTTTTGATTCAATATAAACACCCCGTAGTAACACATTTTGATAGGATTCCAAGGAGCCATATGAAGGCTAATATTTCGCTCAGCGATCACCGTGTCAGGATAGCACCCGTGCTGATGAAATTTCCACAAACGACCGGTACACGACATTGGTCCCTTGTTACTTCATCTAGCGAAACTATTTTGTGAGCACTGACACAGTTTCAACATTCGCAAATTATCAGTGCAACCAAAATTAGTAAATCATTTGCAAATCAGTAAGTGATGTCATCTACATAAAGTCATTCTTTTTTAAGAGATAATGGAAACAGTATAAGATAATAAAATATCAGCTCGGAATCTCATTCTTTTCTTTTAACTTGAAAATTTTATAATACTCGTAGCATTAACTTAGCTTCTATATCGAATAATAATAGAATAACTTATAAATAAGTCTTCGCAGGATCTCTCGTACTCGTAAAATCCTTACTAATGTTATAAAGGCGAAAGTTTGTATGTATGGATGGATGTTTGTTACTCTTTCACGCAAATACTACTGAATGGATTTTAATGAAACTTTACAATAATATAGCTTATACATCAGAATAAGACAGAGGCTATAATTTATATAAATATTTTATGTTTATCTGTCTTTCTGTCTGATGTTACGCCTTCAGCCTATTCTATGCAGACGTAATCGCGGGCAGCAGCTAGTAGGTTATATGGGTCGGGTTTTAAAGAGTGATCAAAACATGTGAACAGAATCGTAAATTATTTGAGTTTTTGGTTCTATTACGATAAATGATGTCAAACGCTCGCTGAAAATCAGTGATGCCTCTCCCAATAACGATTACCACTTCGTGATGTAACAAGGAGAAGAAAAGACTTTCTCTTAGAAATTTTATTTTGTTACATTGCCAAGTTCATATAAGTAATCTGATTAGGACTGTACCGCTTATTTGTTGAGGTCGAAAGCTAAACTTTCGGTTTATTAGCGAGTCGTTTAGCGCTGGCCCTCGACTCAGTCAACGGAGAACTGACCGTCATTGTCAACTATTAACCGGAGACGTAAACGTGAAACTGAAAACACCAAGACAAGGCATTCAAAGTTTAGAGGAATACCAAAATAAAGCCAGTGAATTTTTAGAAATTATAAGAAGTAACATATTCTCAAAATAAACAAATAGAAGTAGTATCGGTATATTCCCTAACTAAAGGAAAGAAAAGTAGACGGGAGAAATGCATCTAAAATCTATTTTAATTGTAACTGCGATTTCTATCGTAGCTACTTGTGATTGTGCTTTAAGTCAAAGCAGTGATGTTTCTGAAGCTAGAGGAAAGAAGAAAATTGCTTTGTTCGGTAAGAATGCTTTTAAATATTTTATTTAAAGTTTAAAGGCTTTTAAAATCCTTCAACGATGTTAAAATCTGGCCAATTCATCGTTGCCCTTCCTTCGTCGATAAAAGATATAAAGCTTATTTGGGGTTTAAAAATTGTAAAAAGAATGGACTGGACATGGAAATGATTCTGGGCGTCAATCCGGAAGACGTGGATTATAATATTAATGTTTCATCTAAATTGAAAAGAGATTTTTTTTCCACACGTAAAGAATATTGTTTCAATATTAAATAGCACCTGTTTGAATAAACGAAGCAACAACAATAGTATACGGCCCACCCTATGTGAATCTCTACCCATCACTGCTGTAATTTGATGTCAACGCGACGTTGATTGTATCCTCGATTGTCAACATTTACTATCCAAACATATGGGCATTAGGCCACTGATTAAATGTTTGATTTCCCCCCAGAGCGTTTACATTCACATACTTGTAATACTCAGAATATCTAGAATATAGGCGTGATAGATATTATCCATTTGCCAAATTTCATCTTTCGTCTTCTATTTATTTCTGAAAAATTATAATAACTTATACGGCGATAGCGTAACGTCCCAAAATGTGAACGGAGAAACCGCCCTGTAACTTTCCCGAAATTAAAAAGGGACTCCTATCATGGGAGAGTATTTAATCGCTATTCGTTTTCACGTGAACAATTCCTGAGCCGTCGTCGTCATTAAAATCGCTTTTATAAAAGCGAAGGATAAATTCGATTCCCTCTCACAGACGCCGTCGGAAAGCCCCTAGAGCACTTTAGCGAGCAAAGCGTTATTTAACAAGTGCTTTAATACGTCCATATTGTTTGAATTGATGCGGTTGGTTTAAGCATTAAGAATAAAACTTAGGGCCCTTTTAAAAATAAAGTACACTGTGAAAATACATTTGTTTGTTGTTGCGTAGTTAATGTTTTCGTCGAAGTGAATATATTTCGTAGTTCGGTGTTTAACCAAAATTCCATTACACGATGTGCTCATTTTTACGAGATTAAGACGTAAAATTTAAAGATCTCATCGCAGAAACTTGGTTCCGGAATTGGTTAGAGACCCCGTTGAAGTTATATTTAATTTACTTTTCTTATTGTGAAAGAAAACATGCGTTGACGAATTGATAATGAATAATAGCTATAAATTCCAAACAGATACTTGAAAAGTGTGACGATTGACTTAAAGATTCAGCCATCGATGTCTTCGTTCTTGTCACATTGTTAAAAAAGTTTCTGTACGTTTCAGTGTATTGGGCTGATATAGTCATCAAGAAGATATTTTTCCTGAAGCTATTTTACGCTTTCGTGTTCTGGCTGGTGATTCACAAGGCCGGCTATTTCCTGTCATGGTTCGTGAGCTACCTCAAGGAGAAGAAGAACGAGCACCACGAGTACCACGATCACCATGACCATTACTCTCCTCACCAGTACTATGAATACGGCCCTCCAGGCAGCTACGGTCCCCCTGGACATTACGTACCGTACAGAAGACAGAGTCACGGAGTGTAATCATAACTGATACCGTATTTATTTCTAGAAACACCAAAGACAATGTTCAGCTGCTCTATGAAGTTGTTTTTTTAATGTTAATCGATTGAAGTGTGTACCTCTAGTAATTTCTCATAGAGCAACGGGAGAAAATGTTTCGGACGTATGAAATTGAGGTGCAAATTTATTTTCAAAAAACCGTCAAAATACTAGTGTAAGTTGGTAGTTATTTAATTGATACTATTTATTTTGTAATAATAATATATAGCATAATTGTAAGAGTGAATGTGAATGTATTAAATCTGATCCTGCGTTTTTCTGTTATGTTTTTCCGTCAAATGATATAAATTATAGGTTACCTCTATTTTTATGTGTACGAATTTTCTTATGGGCATATATAAATAATATTAGGAATGTAAAAATAATATGATAAATAAAATGACAATAATATGATTTAAATTAAAACCATCCCAATGCGATATTGGCACGTGTTTGTTTTATGTGTTTTCGAAATTTTACGACCGTGGTATAAAGCTGAACGAATAAAGTGATGGATATTTAGAAAAGTTTATGATTCTCACGGTTAAATGGTGTAGCATAATACAACCAACCATTTCAGTACTGCCGCCAAAACAAATTTGAATTAAAGACGGACAAAATTTTCAGAGATTCAATAAAAATAGAAAGTTTATTTTAATACTGTTTAAATTAGCAAGCTGCAAATCATCACAGCCTTTGTACCTGATAGCTTAATGTGGTATAATTAATAGTTTTAGTCTGTGGCAGACAGCTCGGAATAGTAAATTATGCACATAATTGCATTTTCACTGCATGCGGCCTTTTTTGGCTGAAATTAATTCCAGAGGCGCATAGATGCATACTGCGGTGATAGATAACGCGTCAAATATATTATTTAATAGTATATTATATTATATACCTCATAAAAACAATAAATTTATGACATTCTGTAATTACTAAATGGTTAAATTTTTATTCCGTAGCTGAGAAACTGAGATTTATTAAAATGTGCGAATCCCATTTCAACGTTACGTATAAGATAGGCAATAGCATATCGTGAATATTTAAAGGCTATCATATCGTGTACATTTATCATGTTATTTAAAGATCTGAGTGTCAGTTTTTAATAAAAATCATCTTCAACAAACGAAACGAAGAACGAAAGAACTAAACAAAAATATATATAAAAGTCATCCTAACACCCCAATTCTTGTCGTGAATACTCAACCCACCACGTAAAGTACGTTATTATGTAAGGACAATTCACTGTAAGTAAGTTATTTCTATGAGTCGACTGCTTTATTTATCTAGTTAGATGCCATGACCAAGATATCATTGTCCATGGGATCTTGACCAATGCAAAACTATGTATAGGGTTCATGTTCTACTGCATTCCTAATGCTTTACTACTATTCCAACTGACGGAAAGCGGTTATTTTCATCAACCCGGTCAATGTATTTTTCTAATAGTCAATTAAAGTAAAGTCTCATCTTAATCAGGAAGTATTAGGGTATAGTTCACCACGCGACCCCTCTGCGGATTGGCAGACTTCACATATCGTTGAAATATTTTTTTGTTATTATTTCGAAAAATTCCTTTATCCTTGAGCACGTGATAACTCAACACTTAATATTGATAGTTTCATCGAATCAGAACTGGGATTTAAACTCGGGTTGATCGTATAAAAGCGTACGCCCGGTTACTGGGCTATCACGGCTTACTTTCAACTATTTAAAGTAGTTAGTATTAGATACTTCATGATGAGATGAAAAATTTGAGATAGCTTGAGCTAAACATAAACTTTCCACAGCTTATTTAATTGAGGACGCGTTAACCGCAACAGGTGGGATGAACATCAAACGAGTTACCGCATAAACTTAGTTCACGGAGTCGCCGTAAAAATTGTATTGGCAGAGCTTGGTTATTACCCATTTAAGCCTTCCATAAACCTGAATCCGGAGAGATTATTAAAGAGTGATGAAATAAGGTATTCGATAAATAACACTCCAATAACGACTCCCCGTTTTAATAACAGCGATCGTAAAAGAATGAAAGGGACACGAAGATATTCTAATAATTCGTCTAACACCTATTTTTAAACTGAAACTCCAAGCGATTATTGCATTACAGCTTATACATAATTATATAGAGGAATACACCAGTGTGCTTTCGGAAATTTACCTTCATCTGATACATAATGTCTGATAAAAATTATTCTCTAGTGTGTCCAGTTTGTGCGGTTTGACTTGTTCCTACTTGTCACGCTGATTAAGATTTTTGAAAATGTTCAACACTAGTTGTCGCCTCTCTCCACCCTTTTTATGAATTTGGTTCCTAAGAGCCTCGATGGATGCGATTGTATGTTTCCGAAATATAACGCAGAAAAAAAATTTGAAACATCTTATCTCTTTTAATAAATTTTCTAGTTTAATTTAAATACGAGATTTTGTGCCAAGCCTTAAGATAAGACCGCCTGACCCTTGTTGTTATTGAAAGCTTGGAACTGTGCCATTACAAAGATAAATTCAAGAGCAGATAAACTAATCTCTAATCTGTAGAGTGTACTCTAATATAAAAAGTTTAGAATTTTTCAACCAATATGTCTGTTGAAAATAATGGTAAATAACACGTAGAATAGTACAGGACCTATTTTACTAGTAAAAGACCGAACTTGCTGTAACAAATTTCATTATTTTTGTATTAAACACCTGAATATTCCTTAAAGATGTTGTGTACTTTTGTCATAAACGAAACGAAGACGTAACTTCCTTATTTCAGAATGAAAAGCATTAGACTTAGTCTCGAATCAAAAATATGAACTATACTGAAGTATAGGCACTTTCCAAACGCAAAGCAAGATTCCAAATATCAGAAAGGGTTTCGGGACACAATAAAAATGGCATAGATATAATGTTGCCATGATAAATATCCCTTTTAACGCACGGAACGTTGTTGATCGATGAACTAACCCGTTTAATGTCCGTTGATGCGTAATATTTCTGCTCCGGTAAGCATCCGAAGGAGCCTTCCGCAACGATGGATATTCTGTTATTTATGGGAGCGATTGCATATATCAAACGTAAGGAGAAACTTAAGCCTTTCGTTTCAGGCTGGTCATCTGAGAAATATATGTTACTTGTCAACTTTATTGTTTTTTGTACACACTATTAAAAGGCATGTGAAGACGGTTTTCGTTTCTTCTCTATTAGGATCGTAGCTCGTAGCTCTATAGTGATAAGTAACTGTGAAATAGTAATTTCAAGGCGCTCGTCCTGAGTAAAATTACACGGTGCTGAACAAGGTTTTTTTTATGCTAAAAGTTGCCAAACGAGCAGACGGTTCATCTGATGGTAAGTGAATACCGCCGCCAGTGGACATCTACTACACCAGTGGGTTACAGGTTACAGTTGACAACCCTTTTAAAAATTGGGCTTCGGCTACCTCATTCACCAGACGAAACGCGAAAGTAAAAAAGTTTGTCATACTTCTTTCTACTTTACGTCTTCTGTGAGTTCGTGGTACTTACGCAGACGGGCCTGCCCATTCGTGCAACAGCCGAGGCTGCTGCCTGGCCCCACCACCGCCGGTCGAACTGTTTCTGAATTTTATCTCCTTATTGACTATTCTTCTTATGAATGTGTTGACTGACATATTTTTTATTACTTAACAGGAGAATTTAAACATATAAATAAGATAACCGTTAAAGAACAAATTTCGCCTAAGGTACTTCTGTTCATACTCTTAGATGTAAAGTGACTAATTTATACGCGTGACCGAACTTTGACGTACAAGTTCACTGAAACTTTTGGACAGCTTCGGACAGACGGCGTGACGTCTATCCAATTATCACTTAGTCTGTTTGTAATCTCACGATAGTTGAAGGAAGTTTTATTCAAACTTGCAATAAGTCGGTGCAAATTGTAATTATAATATTATTAAACAATATTCACTGTACTCCCACTGCTTGGTAATTATCAATGGGGGAATTTAACAGTGATTAATCACGTGAAAGCGAATTTCATGTGTGATAATAGTATTTCAATCGTTAATCTTTACAAAATCAGTGAAATTTAGCGATCATTTTCACATTTCTCGAGTGCAATGACGAAGGTGCTTATATTTTGAAACTAAAACAAGTGATAGAACAAGAAAGCTCCACGGTATCTACAGAAAACTTAGAAATACTAGTTGAACTTATATTTTCTAATAAACTCGCCAAGACAGCGGAGTTATTTGATATCTCAACATTCGAGAAGTGCATTAAGGTTAGATACACAGTTTGAATTGGCTTGGCAAGAGCTGCATTGTTTCACTGTAGCTTTCGGTTCAAAGGTTATTTTCAATTTTATATCGATGAAATGTTCAATTTCGATTTAAGGTTAAGTACAATTATTTGATCAGAAAAGTTATTGTAAGACTTGTGATTATTTGAAACTGCGTCAATTTTTTCTGTTTCATTGTTATAAATAAACTGAGAGGAACACGCAATGTTAAATTATTTAGTAAGATAATTTACGTATATTGGTGGCCGAAGCTATAAAACATTTTTTTTTAAATGCGTGTTTGTGTATATTAATAAACTTCATAATAATAAACTTCTTAAAAACCTATCAAGCGCGAGTCGGCCTCCTCCATTTAAAAGGTTCCGTGCCATTATCTACAATAAACTGATTGGTAAGTGGCGATAGGTTGCCTAGCAACCGCCTCGCGTTTATTGTATGGGAGCCCCCTTAAATATATTTTAGTATTCGTTGTTATAGTGGCAACAGAAATAAATCATCTGTGAAAATTTCAACTGTCTCACTCTCACCGTTCATGAGATAGTCTGGTGACAGACGGAAACACAGACAGACAGACAGCGGAGTCTAGTAAGGAACCCGTTTTACCCTTCGGGTAAAAAACCTAAAAAGATACTCCATTTTACATACCATGAGTGTTTGATACATCATCGATGATTGACATATTTATCGAGTACACGGAACTACACGGTGTTAATTTC